AATGAGTAATTACCAACGAGATTCGATCAATATACGTACTCGACCCCCCCTATACTCCAATCCTGGCTCCGCCACTGGTACCAAGCCTTTGACGCCATGTTGTTTTTGCCCAAAATGCAACACGACGATGGTAAGAGCGCATTCACTCGTACCTCACGGTCGTCCCATGTTTTTTGAAAAACCCTAGAGCCGTTGCTGATGCTAGAGCGCGCCTGATGACCTTCGTGGGTTTAGGGTCGACATGGCAGGATGACTAAATCTATTCACCAGAAAGGAGTTCACAAGGAGTAAAAACAAACAGGGAGGAGTTCATATTTTCCTCACTCTCCCGCCCCCTCTCTCCCCTTCTCCAAAGTCCAAAACAAAACCCAAGGCGACATACCTGATGACCATGGAACACGATGATGTGGATTTCACGAAAATAAACAATTTTCTCCCCTTCTCCGTCTTTTGTAACAAACGCACGCAAATCTGTAGCACTCGTCTCCAACAAACAAGCCCTATCCGCGTCGGAAAACCAGAAACAAACCTTATCCCACCCACCCACCTCCAAGAAACCAGCAACAAATCTCCTCCACGATCGCCAGCAGCCAGCTGATCGATCTCGGCCGGGCGCATATATATGGGCGCCCATACACTGTGCATGGACACCAACCCAGTCGACACCAGTAACCCAAGCAGCCGCGCGCCTGCAGCCATGGCCACTTCGCCGTCGAGCAGCTTGCTGCGCGTGCTCCTCCTCGCCGCCGCCGTCGCGGTGGTGGCCGCGAGGCACCACCACCCCGGGTTTGAGAAGATCTTCGAGGTGCAGGAGGCGGACCGGGTGGAGATGCTGCCGGGGCAGACGGAGCAGGTGGGCTTCCGGCACTACTCCGGCTACGTCACGGTGAACGAGACCCACGGCCGCGCCCTCTTCTACTGGCTCTTCGAGGCCACCCACGACGTCGCCAAGAAGCCCCTCGTCCTCTGGCTCAACGGAGGTAGATTAAATATTACTTTGTTTAGTAGATGCGATCTAGCTAATCAGTGTACACTTAGTTACTCGATCCATTTCATTCCATTGAGTTCCATGCATGAGATGAAACTAATATTGGATAATCTCAGGGCCTGGATGCTCGTCCGTGGGGTATGGAGCGATGATGGAGCTTGGCCCCTTCTTGATCCAGAAGGGAAAGCCCGAGATTGCCTTGAATCCCCACTCATGGAACAAAGGTACGCACTAGTTACATCTATTACCAAGCAAATCATGTAGTAATAATTGTTCATTCCGATTGATTAATCGTGCACCATTGTTCTCTTTGATGACTGTTGAACAGAGGCAAACATGCTGTTCTTGGAGTCCCCTGCCGGCGTGGGCTTCTCCTACACCAACACCACCGCCGATCTCGGCCATTTTGGCGACAACCTCACTGGTAGGCCAAGATAATTGCCAATTAGTTATAGATCTAATTAATCATCATTCCTTTCATGGCATTAAGAGGTATGACAATTAATCGGATCTCATCTTGCTTTGTGACAGCCCATGACGCATACTCTTTCCTCGTGAACTGGCTGGACAAGTTCCCTCAGTTCAAGGGCCACGACCTGTACATCGCCGGCGAGAGCTACGCCGGGCACTACGTCCCCCAGCTCGCCGAGAAGATCGTCCACATGAACAAGAAGGCGTCGCGGGCTCACAAGGTCAACCTCAAGGGGATCCTGATCGGCAACGCCGCCATCGACGCCAGCTCCGACGACCGCGGCCTGGTCGACTACGCCTGGGACCACGCGGTGGTCTCGGATGGGATCTACACCGCCGTCAAGAACAACTGCAAGTTCCCCGACGACGGCATGGAGAGCGACGCCTGCGACAACGCATGGAACGACTTCTTCAACGCCATGAACGACATCGACCTTTACAGCCTCTACACCCCCGCCTGCACCAAATCCATGGTCAACTCCACCAACTCCTCCCCCCGCCGCCGCTCCAAGCTCGCCGGCACCGGCACGCCGCTGGGGAAGCTGCACCGCGGCGGCAGGCCCTACTACAACGCCTACGACCCCTGCGGGGACTACCACATCCTCGACTACCTGAACCGCGCCGACGTGCAGAAGGCGCTGCACGCCAACGTCTCCGGCGCAATCCCGTACCGCTGGGAGCCGTGCAGCGACGCGCTGACCAACTGGACGGACGCGCCGGCGTCGACCCTGCCGGCCATCGGCAAGCTGGTGAAGGACGGTATCCGGGTGTGGGTCTTCAGCGGCGACACCGACGACCGCGTGCCGGTGACCTCGACGCGGCTCGCGCTGAAGAAGCTCGGGCTCGCGACGAAGAAGGGGTGGAGGGAGTGGTTCACCAGCGACCAGGTGGGCGGGTACACGGTGGTCTACGACGGGCTCACCTTCGTCACCGTGCGCGGCGCCGGACACATGGTGCCCATGATCACGCCGGTGCAGGCCAGGCAGGTCTTCGCGCACTTCCTCACCGGCGAGGAGCTCTCCGCCAAGGCCATCGTCGCTTAGTTAGTTCGTTCATTAGCACCCACTGCGTGCTTAGAGATCGTTTGATTTATCAGTTAGCTAGGTTCGATTCCTAGTTCAGATTAGAGCTCAAAACTTGTGAGCTGAAAATTAGTTCGAGTTTTTTTCTCTCTCCAAAAAGAGCTCATTACCTGTTGAGCTTTTCCCACTTAATTAATAGGACATGTGATCTCCTTGGTTAGTTCTTGCGTTTGATCTTGCGTTTTGTTTGATCTTGCGTTTCAATGTGCTTAACTAGTTGCGTGCAATTCGGCCAAAGCCTAAAATTTTTAAAAAAACTGTACAATTTCAGGTTTCGAAATGCCATAACTATCCAATCGCATACTTCAAACCTAGAGTTGCGCTAGAATTTTTTTTACGTGCAAATGTAGTTTCAAAAGGTGCAGCTGCAACAAAATTGCACATCTCTTAATCCTAAAGTTGTTTAAAATGAGTATATACGCAACTACAAAATGCTATAATGATAATAATAATTATTAAATCCTTGCAAATACTGATATAAATACTTCTTTTCGCTAGTCCATTAACACAGTGTAGGAAGGTGAGCGCAAAGTTTTCATATTATTCCATAAGCATAGCTAGAACTTACTCTCATTCCACGCAAGAGTTGTCACTTAAAAAGTTGATTTAGTTCGCTACAAAAAAAAGTGTATACATTTGTAACGCATTTCCAAGTACTCCCTCTGATCTATATCACTTGTTGCTCAAACGACAAGTAATATTGATTGGAGTGATTAATAATATTTTTTCAGTAAGAGTGTATTAATTATTTTGTTGATGACTTTTATATGGCTTAAGAATCTCCACTAGCAGAGAGAACTCCACACAGGAATATAAATTAGTTTAAGTATATTAATTATTTTATTGGTGACTTTTATATGGATTAACACGCTCCATTACCAAAGAGAAATCTGCATACAATGTATGGTGATATTCTGGTAAACGGTATATCGATGCGTATTGCACAGGGCGGGGTTTTTAACCCTGATTCTGAGAAAAAAAGTAATCGTATACCAAGAAATTTTGTTTATCACTCAATCTTAAAAATGGTTGTATATAAAGAAATTTGTTCATTACTCAAAAGAGAGTGGTTTTTAGCTCCCGGGTGCTTATGCACCCACTATGAGCAGTAAAATCAAAAAAATCTAAAACTTTGCGACATCAAAGATGATCGAACTTTGTAGATGCTTGCAAGTTTTCATGCAAAAAAAACCATTCGAGGAGCTCTACACATGAAAAAGATTTCAGTGCTTGAAGTTTTGAGCACTTTTAGCATTGAAATCTGAAATTCGTTTGTACACCTTTCTCTACATGATATTTTGGCATGAAAACTTGCAAGAACCTATAAAGTTTGACCATCTTTGATGTTGCAAAGTTTCAGATTTTTTGATTTTCTTTCTGTTCTTTTGAATTTACTGTTCATAGAGGGTGCCTAGGTACCCAGGAGCTATCACACCTTTCTGTTACCCAAAATCTTGGGTTCTAATCCAATCTGAATGTTTTTGGCGACGCACCTACATGTACAGTCTGACCCAGACCCGAATGGACACCCAACATTATAGTGTCAAAAATAATCTTATATTTTGTGACAGAGGAGTAGTTCCCTCCTTGAATCATGTGGTCATCGCAGTGATCTACCAACGATCTTGGTGGTGCTCCCGAGTGAATTTGGTGAGGAGTAGTTGGTCACCCAAGTCCATCACCTCTGAACATCGACACTTCTCGAAATCTGCCTTGAGCACCCATGCAAATTTATCATTACTTCTATTGGCCGGACGATGTGACCAGGTGGTGGTTCATGGTGTATTTGGATGAAAGGCAGCATTGTTGTTTTCATTTCATTAAGAGGAGTGAAGAATATAAGATCAAGGGATTACATCAGGCAATCACATACATCAGAGAAAAGCTACATCAAGACGACAATAGGGCAAGGACCAAAAATAAGCAGGAAACAGAGGGCCATCCTCTTAAGTCTCGTCACTGATAGGAGACTGAAAGGGAACACTACATACAGTGGCGGACCCACCATGGGGGCGAGCTGGGGCGGCCGCCCCGGGTCGCCGGCGGCGGAGAATCGCCCCCCACCTACACATCTGCCGATCTGCGGGCTGCGGCAGCGCTCTTCCCTGTTTCAGAATTCAGAAAGCAGTGGCGCTCTTCTCTGTTTCCTTTTTAGCGATCGAAGGGGTACGTGAGGGAGAAAGAGACTTGGGCTGGTTCGGTAGACTGGAGTGGGCTACTACCGCCTACAGGCCCAAACAGACGACATCTTAGCCCAATCGATCTCTCCTTTCCTTTCCTTGTCAAACAGAAAAAGGATCCCAAATCGATCCACAAACCGCATTGAGCGTCCCCCTCACGATCTATGACCATATATACAACTCCCATCATATTCATAATTTTGTAGGTCTCGTTCCAAAATTAGAATTATGGGATCATATTGTGGCGAGAAAAGTTCATTTTTCGTCCCTCAGTTCTTCAGTCCGATCACTTTCGGTCCCTCAACACTAAAACCGGACATGTTGCACCGTGAACTCTCCATACCAGACAAAAATCGTCCCTCCGCAGACCCGACGCGGTTTCGCTACTGACTCAGCCCGGGTTTGACTAGTCGTTGCCCACGTGGCCCATCTCTCACTCCAGTCACCTAAAGACCCGACCCCAGCCCCTCGTTCCCTTTCGATCCCCTTTCTTCGACCCGTGCCCGAACCCTAGCTATCTTTGGCGGCGGCTGTGGCGACGCAGGCGGCGGCGGCGGTCAGCGGGAGCGCAGCGCCGCGGCGGTCGGCGGCGGCGGTCAATGGGAGCGCAGCGCCGCGGCGGTCGGCGGCGCACGGCGGCGCGGTCAGCGGGAGCGCAGCGCTGCGGCGGTCGGCTGTGACGCCCGGGTAATCATGCTACAGTAATTCCACGCTAATGATGCCACGTCACCTCGGTTAGTGTTAATAATCTCACGTTAGTTCAAAACCGGTTCGAATTCAAATTCAAAATCAAGCAAATAATAAAAGTTTTTAAATATTAAAACTAAAAATGTTCGGAGTGAGCCAAATAATGCATAGGTAATTATGGTAAGGAAACCACACTTTTATAAAATGTTTAGATGTTTAAATGTGAATGAAACAGCAACATAACCAATATAATAAATGCCTTTTATTATTTATAAAATGTTAAAGTATTTTATTTAGGGGTTTAAACTTTTGTAACAAAGGTATAATTAGTAATATTGATTTTGGTACAACTTTTATGTTTTTTTTAAAAAAGAAAAAAAAGATGAGACTAAAAGTAAAACAGTAAAAGGAAAAATAAATAAATAAAGACAAACAAAAAAAACAAAAAAAGGGGAGCCTCCCCCACTGGGCCAACCGGCCCAGCTAGTCAGGCGGCCGGCCAGCCCACTACGCCCTGGCCTATATCCCCGCTAGCCCCCCCTGAAACCCTAACTCCCTCGCCCCCTCCCGATCCAGATTGGATCGGGGCGAAACCCCCCACTTCCCCGCTCCTATCTCTGCCTTCCCCGACCCCCTCTGGATCGGGGCACGACCCCGACGAGGCCGCAACCCC